GTGAGGTAGTCGGAGATCCAAGCCACCAGGCAGGGGTCCACCTCCATCCTGTTCAGTTTCTCCTGGAGCAGACAGGGCCGGATGGTATTAAAGGCACTGGAAAAGTCAAGAAACAGGATCCTGACCGTGCCGTTCCCATTGTCCAGGTGTGAGTGGGCTCTATGCAGGAGGTACAGGATGGCATCCTCCACTCCGACACCTGCCTTGTAGGCGAACTGTAGTGGGTCCTGGGCATGTTGTACCTGTGGTCGGAGGAGGTTGAGGAAGAGCCGCTCTAGAGTCTTCATAAGATGTGATGTCAGTGCCACCGGTCGGAATTATTTTATTTATTTTATTTCAAGTTGTTACAGATGGGACAGACATGACTGGGGGATAAGAAAGGGAGAGAGAAAGAACAACAGAGGGGAAGAAGGACCGTAAGAGAAGACACTAAAAAAACAAATAAAAAGGAAAACAAGCAAAAAGAGGGAAACACAATAAACACAATAAACACAATAAACACAATAAACATGACACCACAGCAATAACCTAGATAACTGCAACTAACAGTAAATACTAAATATTGAATGTTATTGTGTAGTACGCAACACTGACAAGTAAGAAACACGTATTTATGTCCATGTGTGTAATGTGTCACGGGTCACCCCGAGTCCAGCAGCCTGAGGCTGGACGCTAAGTGGAAGGAAGGAGGTGAGTGTCAGCACCACAGTCCAGGACGAGACAACAAACATCCACGAATACATCAGGAAGATGAGCCCAACCGACCGCGTGCTCAGTGAATACCTCAGGCAGCAGAAGCCCAGGAATGAGGAGGAAGAGGAGGAACCATCATGAAGGACAGGCCCCTGCACCGTATGTACCACCAGCAGATAGAGGAGGTGGCTGATGTCCAGTGTCTTTGCTACCAGGCTGGACAAAGCTGGACTGAAAGACAGCACAGAGGTGCTAATCATGGCAGCACAGGAACTGGAACGCCATAACCAAGTGTCCAGCATAGACAGAAACATCTGTGCCAAATATGGACTGAGAGTCCTGAGGTCAAAACAGGAGACGTCCTCTGCGTGGTGAAGAGTGACCGAGCTAAGATCCTGTGGGCCGAAATGATATTTAACGACAGTAATTTTAATATAGTTTTAGAGGCAGTAACGTGTATTCTTCAAACTCATTCTGTAATAAAACTGTATTTTAACATTTTACTGTTTTCCTTCTTCTTCCATCTTCCATCAAACATTAATGGAAACATTTGTTAATCAACAAAAACAGTAAAATCACAGAAACGATTATCCTTCAAAGCTTTTCTTGATCTTGTGATGTTTTCCATCGAGGTCAGGGAAAGGAAAATAATGCTGATTGTGTTGGCCTCAGGATTTCTTTGTATCATGGCTACAGCCCTGTGGTCGCTATTTGCTGCGGTTGGCGAACCAGGTGCATTAGCGCCACCTTCTGGACTGGAGTGTGGCTCAGTCGGTTTATACGTCTATATTCTCATATAAATACCACTTGCTCTTAAAAACCCAAATCCAGCCCTGCGTTCCTTTGTAATATTTATTTCACCCTTAACTGAACTCTGTTTTTCTGTAATGTGTTTGCCTGTATTTATTCTAACATCACACGGTCAAATGTCTCCTCTTGTCCACAAAATGCATAATTTCCTGTCTCGTGCTTATTCATCTTCTTTATTTAAACCTGTATGACCAACTCTCTCTCTCTGTCGCCATGGTATCTTCTTCTTTTTTACTCCTTTGACTTCTTCTCCATTGTCCAGCTGCTCTATAATAACCTTCTCTGTCCCACAGCGCTGCTGTTTCCCAACGAGACGTTAACGTAACGTGGCCGCACGGCAGAAGTTCTCCTCCTACTTCAGAGGAGGGTGTGTCTGCCCGAGAAAAAACGCACAGTTCTTCCACAGCTTGAACTTCCTTTCGACAGCTTCGACTTGAGTGTTTGGTACCAGCTGTTATTACTGACTGCAGTCATTTCATGAGTGGACCGCGCTGCTGTGGCAGGAGACACGTCTCTGTAGATTTTGTTGTTTGTCTTAAAAAGTAGTTGTCGGTCTGACGCAGCGTTCGCGTGGGACGCTCCACTGATCATGGGGGATGTGATTTCTAGTCACCTGGATGAAGGCAAGCGGGAGATGATCACAGGTAAGGAGCGATGAGTGCTGGTTTGGCGTGTTTTCCGTTTTGCCACAGTGTCAGCGTGGGTCCAGCACCTCTTTGTTTACTAACTAAACGCGCTTTTTATCTGCGTCGTTAATAAACCACAAATATCCACGTAGCGCGTTGGGCTCTCTTCCCTTAGCTGGACCAAAAAGCTCTGTCTTTAGTGTTTGTTCGTACTGAAGCACTCCCACGACACCAAAAGAGAAGGACAAACTGTGGAAACGTAATAGGAAATGATGTGACCGGTTAAAGTTAGTTACAAATGCGGAGTGCAGCAGATAAAGTGCTGATCGTGGCCCTGCCTCGGACATGTCACAGCCTATCAGGTTTTCTCTAATGTGGAGTCTTTGCTGTCGAGTCTGAAGCAGATAAGCTTGGTGTACAGTATCTATTGGACTTAAGTGTCACAGTACTCGTGCCTGCTCCACACAGATGTGTCTCATATAAAAGGCATCACTGATGGTCTCCTGATGTTCCACTCATCTCCTGCCCGAGACTGGACGGAACCGTTGGACTCTTTGCAGTTTGTGTGTTCGGAAAGTTCAGGTTTAGTAATTCCTTATTTTTGGCTTGTTTTACCTCAGTTCTCTTTATTTGTGAGGATTACAGCTGACAGAAGAATCCACAAGTATGTTGTAACTTGTGGTGGGTGGGGTGTTTCTCCTGAACTGGGCCAGATTTCAGGAACTTCAGTGACTTTTATTACACTCACAAAGTGTTCATGTTACTGTTGCATTGCTGAGTTGTTGTGATGTTTAATTCTCAAAACAACTGACACATGTTTATGTAGGGTCAGCCCTGACCAGTCCTGACCTGATAGACCAGCGACCTGTGCGGGTTTGGGTTTCTAGTTGGCTCTTTATCTTTTTTTTCCATTTAGAAAACGAAGCAACGTACATAAAAAAGAGAAGACCGCACATGAAGGTAGATATATGGGCTCAGTTTTCTAGCACTGGATTAAAATAGACATGAATAATGACTGATTGACGTCATGGCGCCCTCACATAGACCTAACTGTCTGTGAAGCTGCTTAAAGTTTTAGAAACGTGTTTAGCGCCATCTCCTGTCAGTACAGAACATTACACCCAAGTAACGTTTGGTTGGCTGGTTGGTTGCTGCTGATAGACTTTAATTAGTTGACATAAACTAATTAATAACTGAACCAATATAATGAGACTTAAACTAAAGATCCATTAAAGGGTTTCACTTTGTGCTAACTTTGGCTGCAACAGTGACATTTATGTTCAAATGAAGGATGCACTGTTCATGTTCAGTCTCTGGTGAGCTCAGGGAGAGCGAAACAAAATGTGTTTCTAGAGTTCAGAACAGTCGCGTCTGTTCCTGTCACCACGATTAAAACCTTTACTGGGAAAAAGCTTGTGGGAGTCTTTCATCAAAGCACCAACGAACTCTGACATGAAGAAAAAGAAACTTTGTAGCTGCTCCAACCAGTAAGCCTTCAGAAGTGTTCAAATATGCAGATGAACTGTTAACTTAGTCTGATACATGTTTCAATTGTTTGCTGAAGATTTTACATCAAAGCAAATACCTGCAGCAAACAGGGGTGCAACTAAAGGGGGGCATGGGGTGTACGAGACCATATTTATTTCAAGGTTGTTGCAACATTTTTCAGATTGAAGGAAAAATAATATAAAGTCTTAATTAAATTGCTTTAATATTTAAAAATCTAGAAGACAGAGTCAAGGCACATTTCTGATACATCTTATTTAGCTGAGTTTGACCTTTGACTGTACTTGAGATGTTGAATTTCAGTTTGACATATAAATCAAAGGAATGAGTTGTTTTTGTTTTTCTGACAGTTTAAAGTTAAACTTTTAAACATTGACGTGAAAAAAGTGTGGCGTCTCTTCCTTGGACTGTCTTCGGGGTTTTTGTTTCCGCCCCGTTGTGCACACACGATCTATTTTCCCTGCAGACGTACTGATGGGATTCCTGATCGGTAAACTGTTTACAGCATCACAGACCAGGAAAACGTGGAGTTTCTGACTCCAGCATGTCGGTGAACCACTTGTCAGCTCACTCAAACAGACCCTTCACACTTCTCTCATTTCTAAAGTGCTTTACAAACCTGAATGTTACAGCCAACAGGTGGATTTTCCCGTATCAGTGCAACTAGCCACACAACAACAACACTTACTGGTTAAGAGAGAGTGAAAGTGGACAGTTTGTCCTTGGTCTTAATATGAAAATGTTGCAGTAAAATACACGAATCTTTAATTTTCCTTCCCCTGAGCTATTGGGTCGGTTACATTAGTTATGTTACCTAACTGGTAATGCTCGCTTCCACAAGTTTGTTTTTGGTTTTAAAGTCTTTTCTTTTCTTTTTACTAAAAAATGATTTGAGGTTTGATGACTCGTCTGAAGAATTAATTGCAAGTTTTTGCCACAGATTCCCAGAAAGACCAAAGAAATACTAGACTTGGATTTAGCTATGATACATGTAGAATGGAGGAAGTTGAAATGTGGGACAAACCTCAGTGGTATAGACCTACAAACATTCAGTGACCTTTCTATTTTACTCTGACTTCCACGCTTGATTTCTGCTTAACGTTTAGATGGAACCTAAAGCTCAGGAAACGTAGTGAATGCCGTGATTGAGGCTAAAGATAATTTTTCCTTCACTGTCATTACAACTCAGAGTAGCACGTACACGTATCAGATGTGGAATTTGAGGAATGCATGAAAAAACATGTTTCTGTGGCTGGATGGAAACCTTACACACTGAGGCGCCGAGTCCTGTTATTGAAACTGAGGAGTGGCCTCTGATACCACACGGTTTAAAAGCAAGACTGGATTAGTAACAGATTATTTACATTTATATTTTGGAGTGAACATGCATGTAAAAGAAAGTCTGTGTGAATACGGCCAGTTACTTATGTGTTTTGGGTTTTTGTGAGCAAAACACTGAAACTGACTGTAACAATTAGAGAAATTAAAGTCATCAGTTAGTGTCCTGGTTGCCTCTTTGTTTTAACATTTAGTCAGGATGCATGAAGATACTGACTGTTATTATTGGGCATTGAGTTGTCAGCACTTAATTGGTGTTATGACATGTGAAAATGAGAATGACACAGCTGCTAACAGACTGTAGTTAGAGAAAACTGAACTATTGTTGACTGAGTGGGTTGTCTGGGCGGGTTATGGACACATGAAGAACCAGGCAGCAGGAGAATCATTGAGCAGAGTCTCCAGAATATGGATTACTAATCCAAGATGTCTGTCATGATGTCATCCTACACCTCTGTTCATTGACTAAACCCAATCCTGGGCTTCTCTGTTATTGCCTTCCAACCTGCTTCTGCATGGGCGAACCTTAATCTGGACGTCCCGAGGGGAAAATGGGAGAAGCCCCCGAGGCTAGGGCTGCTCGATTATGTCAAAAATGATAATCACGATTATTTTCACTGAGATCTCGATTATTTGACGATATTTATTTAACAATAACAATGT